TTGCCAAATTTTGTGGACGTCTTGCAGAAGCGAACTGAAGACCCTGTGCAAATTTGTTTTTATTTTCCCTGTGATTTGCAGAAATTGAAAGAAAAATATTCATAACATGACGGTGAGTCTGGTGCAAGTGTGAATCGAATTTTAATAAATCCTTTCTTAGAAATTTTCTGTCAAAAAAAATATACAGTATATAAATTTTCTTGAAAAAATTCCCTTTAATTTATTTTGAAAATTATCCATTTTCATATTCCTGTTTTGATTGAAAGAATTTTGCTGATCATGAGCTCGGATGATGTGAAGGCTTATTGTCAAAAAAACTTTCCTGCTAATTCAGAATATTTCTGCATTTGAAAGAAAAAAGAACTGCTCGTCAGTGAATTGAATCGTAAACTTTAAATTACGCCGTTTTTAATTAAATGAACAAGTTTAGGTAAATTACGACTTTTACGGAGGTTACTTACGTAAAACTAACTTTTTACACACGCTTTTATTTTTACAGGTCGATAAAACCTCATGAAGATCACTTTTTATTTCTCTTCACAAACTAGAAAAACGTTTCAGGTCTGTATAAAAGTGTTAAAATCAACATTTTTGCGCAAAATATGTTCATCAGCAGCCTTGTGCAAAAAAAATGCGGAGCTGAATTTAGAATTATTTTGTTATTTTGTGAAATCATGCATAGAGGAGACAGATTTTTAAAATTTTTTGCAATGGCACAGGTTTGATAACTTTACAGTGCATCTGTGCAAAATATTTGCAGAAATCTTTCCTGTACTTTTGCAATGTTTCCTGACTTTTTTTTATTGTTTAGGCTCTCTGTACATATCTTTACTAATTTTTGGTGATGGAAACATTCGATTTTTGGCGCAATCTGTATATTATACAAAAAAAATTGAAGTAGGTCTTTTATGTACAATGAAATCCATCACATAAATACATTTCAACATATATACTGTATATACAATCAGGAAAATTAAAGCACAGTACATTGAGACCCCCATATATGGATGTAATTGGTGCATCAAGAGTGTCCTTAAGTTGAATTGTCCCTAAGTTGAGTCTTGTTTTCCCGTAGACATACATTATATAAATTTTAATTGGTGTTTTATGGAAGAAATATTCTTCAGAATTCCATGAAAAAATTGGTTTGCCACTTGAATTTGAGTCAGTGAATATACTGTATTTAAAACTTGATAAGAGCATTTGGAGCATTGAATAGTGTGTCTCTGTACCGTACATTGAAGTGTTGGCATCTACAAAAATAATATAATTCAATAAGTCACAAAGAGAGAAGGAATACCCAAGTGGGGAGCTATTCTTTGTGTGACCCCACAACTGGTGAAAACTAGGGTCACATATGGGTCATATATAGGGTTACAAGCATGCACATCTGTTGATGAAATTTTGCTACCATTCCAGGGCTACATTTAGTGCACAAATGTGACATAACAGGAGTATCACAATAATGCACCAACTGTAACCTTGGTGTAACTAACTTATTACAAATGTGACCCTGAGTATCCGTGGTGTGAACACACAATTGCTGAACATTAGGGATATACAGGTGTGACAGAAAAACTTTGGTACACTTCAGGTGCACAACAGGGTCACTGTGCAGAAATACAGACACATCCCCAGTGTGCACCAATTTCCCCACTGGGGAAAAGTCATTCTATGCAATAAGTAATTTTTTTTAATTTTGCTGAATTAATGGGATAAAGATGGGAGAAATGACAAAGAATTTTTCTTGCAAAAATCTCAGGGTAGGAATATCTGCTTCTTGCAATCAAGCCAAATAAAAGGCAATTTTTGTGAAATTTATTGGCAATTTTATCATGCAATGTCCTCATGCCAAGTCAGTGTCACAAGTATGTTGGGCATTTTTATGCCCTTTTTATTGAAAAATAAATGTCCCTATGTCAAATTGTTCACATGTAATTGAGATTTCCACATTTTGGGGGTCTCACTGTATAGTAGACAATGACATCATTCAGGTGTCCGATTTTACGAATTGGATTCAACTCCGTCTGTAGTCACGAATTGTCTGGTTATCCCCCTGATTTAGTTGCCCACTTTAACTAGGTGTCGCCTCAATCCCGTTTCCAGAAGAAAAGTCAAAAAGTTATGGTAATAATTTTTCCTTGTGATTTGCAGGTGCTGCCGAGACTGACCCTGTTACTCATTTCCCTGACCTTGATCGTCACGAGCATCAACGGATCCCCAGCAGCAGCACAGACCTCAGCTGCCACCAGATGGCGCCGCTACGCAGAACCCTTGCCCTATAGGTCCTTATCAGCCTACTTTGCAGACGCAGAGAATCGTGAGCCAGTACGAAGCAGAAGCAGCGGGGGTTACAGAGGCTTTCGGGGATATGCCGACAGTGTCGGAAGGAGATCCTCTGGACTTTACCCACTCGCACGTGTCCGCGGTTTTTAAAAATAAATAAATTGAGAAAACTCGGCTTCAACATTTTGTGATGAGGAAGAAAACGCGATCGGAGGATTGCCTGATGATGATGTTAATAAAGATGACCTGAATGCGAAATAACGACCTGTTATTGTTGTTCTTCTTTTGGTTTCTGACGCGAGTATCCAAGTAGTGACATCTACACTTCCTTGCGGTGAATCTCACGCTTGTGGTTTCGATGCAGCTCGTGTAGAGGACTCGCTTTCCGATTCGTCTCCACGATTTCCCTTCAGAAGTTTCATCATCATCATCATCTATAATTCCTTCTCTGGCTCATCACAGCATATGCAATGATTGAGTCTCTATATTTGGATCAAACTTTTTTTGTTTTAACCTGAAACACACTTTTAGCTGTACAAGAGATGGCGGATGACATTGAAGAATCTCTTCCATCAGCGGATGATGCTGAGATAGACTTTGACAAGGTCGAATTCACTTCAGCAGCAGGGTTGGCCACAGAAAAATCTCCTGGGCTCTGGGACAAGGCGTTTTTGGGCCTGAGAATCGCAGCCAGAGTGTTGGGTGTGTTTGTGTGTCTGTACTTTTTCATTTGTTCCCTGGAGTTGCTGGCTGCTGGGTTCAGGGTTCTTGGGGGTAGAACTACCACTGAATTGCTGAGATCCAGTATGTTGTCCAATCCCGTGGTTGGGCTGATGGTTGGTGTCCTAGTGACTGTCATAGTGCAGAGCTCATCAACCACCACTTCCATGGTGAGGATGACTATAGCAGACAATTAAAAAAGATGAATATTCTACCATAAAAATCCAAATGAAGCAAACTTCTGATGGAGACACTTCAGAAAAATTTGTTTGTACTGCATGATTTGCTTTGATCAATTTTTTTTCTAATTGAATGACTGGAAAAGATTTTCATACCAGACCTGCCAATAATCAATTGAATTTTTTCTTTTCTGGCATTTTCTCAGATGACTTTTTATTTTTGAAAAACTTGATGATTTTCTGAACATTTTCTGTCATCTTCAACCATGCATTCCAAATCTCTTCACATTGAGAGAATTATGTGTGGAGCCAGTTGGAATCATGTTTGTCATTGATTACAGCTTCCATCTGTGCTAAAATAAGGACCATTCAGTCACATATTTGGGATAAGAAACTTTAGACTCTGCCTGTCTTAGTCAGGAAATTTCCATCTGTAGAATCTATTAAACATTTCTTCCAAAAAATGCTAATACTAGACTTGGGTAGTTTTTTTTTTCCAACAAAATTGTTTCAATATGTGCAGTCCTTATTTCTTGAAAATATCCTAGTTTGAGTGTCTCAGTAGAGTGGAGGCTTTGAATAGGGAAATGACTTGGAAAGTCTTGTTCCTTCAAGAAAAAAATAGTCTTTATTGTGCTTTTCTACAATGCCACAAATTACACCAGACTCAGAGACAGAGAAACACAAAGATTTCCCACACATGAGTCTCACAGAAAAGTCACCACACAAATGCCTGCTGGGGTAGAATTTCCCAGGGGTTTGGGTAGTCCAAGGATCATAAGTTTACCAGCATGAAGAGAAGGAACTACCTGTTATCCTTCAGCTTAAATACATAATGAAATATTAATGGAAATTCACTAATGTCTGTATCTGTGTATATTGAAGAATTTAATGTCCATCCCATGAATATCCTATGAACTGGTAAATTTGATCTGACGGTATTTGTTGTAATGCAATTTTACTGTATATGAATGCTGGTTTTACTTATTATTGGCATCAAAAATAGGTAGTGGCTATGGTGAATGCCCAAATAGTGTCCCTGCCAGTGGCCATACCTATAATCATGGGTGCCAACATTGGAACCACAGTCACCAATAGTCTGGTGGCCTTTGGACAAGCTCAAGAGTCCTCAGAGTTTGAGCTGGCATTTGCTGCTGCTTCAATACATGACTTCTTCAACTGGCTCTGTGTTGTTGTCCAATTGCCTGTGGAAGTCCTGGCCAGACCACTGGAAATCAGCACTGGACACATGGTTGGCTGGATCAGCAGGGATGAGAGTGCAAAACCAACTTTTGCTCCTTTGCACACCATCACTGCTCCTGTAATCAATTCCATCATGCAGGTATGATTTTGATGGGGCAGATAAAAATTAGTTTGAGTTGTTTTAGGTTACTACAAGGTTTCACACTTGCATGAGTGCACCCAATTACAATTTATTTGAATGAATTGTAATCATAAGAATATGACCCAAGAACTTTACATCAGCAGGTGGTACCTTGCAATTCAACCCTAATCTGTTGTCAAACTAATTGCAAATCAGTTGAATTGCAAGAAACTCTATCAAATTCAAAATATAATTACATAAAAAATGAAAAAAATTGGAAAAAGCAGGTCAAATTGAAGGGCAAGGGTTGAATTGCAAGTCAACATCACTGCCAATTTCACAGTTTAATTGCAGGAGGTCAAATTGTGATGTACCACCTGTGCTGAACTCATTTGTGAAGTACCTAACATTCAGCACTTGCTCAGCATTGCATTATGCTTTAATTTCTTCCATTGCTACCCAGAATACATGTATTTGCCTCTTCTTTAAAAAATAGATGCAGTCACAAGTTTAAAAAAAACAAAAACATATGAAAATTTTTTACACTCTCTGCATGTGCATCAGCACCTGTGAAATAAAATTATGTAACCCATCCTTTGTATATATGGACAGTTCTTGATGAATGAATGAACAGAACACTTTATTTGCCGGTTTTCAGCGTTCACAAGGTAAAATCAAGATTTCCACATCCAAACCCCTTATTACTATAAGACATCCAGTTCTTGATTGGATGGGAAAATTCTTTCAATTAAACTTATGAATATTATTCATTTCAGGTCAACAAGACATTCTTGGATCCAACAATTGACTTCAACAATACAGACCCTTCAAAAATATCTGCACGCAAAGACTGCTCAGTTCCTGGTGCCAAGTGCAGCCCAAGTTCATATCTTTTTGAATCAAGAAGTCTGTCAGATTCTGCAGCAGGATCCCTGTTGGTGATGTTTGCCATGGGACTCATGTGTGGGATGCTGATCCTCATGGTCAAACTCCTGCATTCTTTGCTCAGAGGGGAAATTGAGGCAACAGTCAACAAGGTCATCAATGCAGAATTTCCATATCCATTCAAATGGCTGAGTGGGTATGTGGCCATTTTGGCTGGAGCAGTGATGACTTTCTTGGTGCAAAGCAGCTCTGTGTTCACCTCCTCTCTCACACCCCTGGCAGGTATAACATTTGGTTATGAAGACCCAAACTTTTGCTTTATCTCCCAATAATGAAGGCACCATGAGGTCTTTCCATCAGGTCTTGGGTTGATTACACTTGAGAGGGTGTATCCAATGACTCTGGGCTCCAACATTGGCACCACTTCCACTGCACTGATGGCAGCTGTGAGCACAGACAACCCAGACACCTTTCAGATCACCCTGCAGGCTGCCTTGTGCCACTTTATGTTCAACTTGATTGGAGTGCTGTTGTTTTATGTCCTGCCACCCATGAGGATCCCTATCCCAATTGCCAGATATCTTGGGAGAGTTGTGGGGAAGTACCCTTGGTTCTCTTTGTTCTATATTCTGTCTTCATTCATCCTCCTGCCACTGCTGGTGTTCATCTTGTCTTCAATTTCTGTCTGGGTGAGTGTGGGAAAATGCTTAAAAGCATGATACTTTACTATTATTTTTTTCTGCTATGATCTTTTACAATGAAAATCAATGAAAATGGTTCTGGGAATCCTGAATCTTATTACAGTACTATAAGACATACTCTTTGTTGTTTCTGCAAGTCACCTACCAAAATGAAAAAATATGCAAGTGTAAATTTAGAGGTAAATAAATCATATGATATACACTATTATAATTTGATACCTGTAAATGACATATCCCTTTTTGTCCAGGACTCAAACGTCTTTATAAAAAACCTTACAATAAACTCGGAATACACTAACTTAGAGAGGTTACGTTTACTTTAGTTGAGGGCGTGTTACCTGAATTAAACACGTTGTCTGATCAGACAATAATACAAATTCAATTATTAAAAAATTAGCATTTTACTTATTTCCATTACTTTTAAGCCAACGTTACGTAAGTATGTTACGTGGATTTAGTCTGTTGCGCAGGAGGGAAAACTGCCATCAGATGTGGTCTGTTGTGCAGAAGGTCTGTTGTGCAGGGGTGAAATGTATCTCAATATATTCTTTGCAACTAAGGCAATACATTTTTAGCCCTTTTACAAATGAATACTGTGCTGATATAAAACCAAAAATGAGCCATGAGTATAACAGCTCAAGTTATTTTAATCTGACAACCTGCTGCTTTTATATTTACAGTTGCTCATCACAGTGTGCATCCTGACAGCTCTGCTGGTGTGCTTCCTCTTGGTGGTGAACAAGCTGCAGGAGATCAGACCACAAAGTCTTCCTAAATTCCTCCAGACCTGGGAATTCCTGCCAATTTGGTTGCGCAGTTTGGAGCCCTATGACAGGGTTGCCAAAAAGGTCATCCAGTTCTTCTCCAAGTGCAGAAGAACCAAGAGAAATCAAACCCCAGAAGAGACACCTTCACCATCAACAGCACCAGTTTATTTGGAGGCTTCACCCAATACTCAGCAGAGCAATGAGCAAAAGCAGGACTAAGCAACAGTTACAACATTATAATACATCAGCACTGTGTCAAAAAGACTTCAGTCACGGTAGTGACCCTGGATGCGCTGATTGGTTGGGTCAAAGGGGGACTTGGTGTGGACCTGGGCCTTGACCTTGTCACACATGATTTCAAGTTCATAGCTGCCTTCTTTGATGTCATGTGTGGAAATGGGGGTGTTGTCAAGACTCCTGATGTACCTGTTGGTCAGAATTAATAAAATGACCCTTATTTATTGCTGATGCTGCATGAAGACCAGAAGCAGCACACATTTCTGCTTGAAGATATGCTCTCTCTATATGCTAAAAGCAGAAATGAAGGGTGTGTTCTTACCCATAACCAATACTTTTTCCAAGAGTGAAAGCAAATTCCCCTCTGTACAAGTGTCCCACTGGTTCACCATTCTTCAAAATGGTCTCCAAACCATACAAAGGTCTTTTCCTATAGCATAGAGGAAAATAATTGAGTCNGAGGAGAATTGAAAAGTGTGGGAAATTGTAGATGAGGAATTTCTGGGCCTAAACTTGCTCCTTAATGAGTTCACACCTTGCTGAACTTGGAGGAAGGGGTTCATTTGCTCCATCAGTCTTTTGCTTTCTTTCAAGATGTATCAAATCTCCTCCATATTATTTAAGGAAATAATAAACAGAAGGCCTCAGAAAATTAAACTTACAGAGGTTTCAGAAAAAAATATTAACTTCAAAATGGAGGTTTTTAATGCATTGATGCCAAGGGAATTCAGACAGGGACTTAAAAAAATTGACTTACGGAGGTTCACCCGTATCTGCCAAATTTTCTTTTGCAAAATTTATATACTGGTATTTTTGAAGTTAGTGCATATTTATATTGACATCACATGCATTGAATGTTTAGATTTCAGCAGAAAAATAAAAATGCTTAAGCTTTCTGCTCAAGACTAATTCAGTTTGCAACTGTTTTGACATATTCCTAGAAAATAACACAAATTCCCACTGTATTTGTTCCAGAAATGAATGCATTTGATTTTCAAATCAGTTGATATATTTTGGTTATGTAGAATCTGTAAGAAAACAGTCAGCCAAATTGTAATATGTGCAAAAGTTTGAATTGAAGAGCATTGCTTATAATTGCTCTGTAAACAAGAGTTCATATCCTCAAATCAGTTGATATATTTTGGTTATGTAGAATCTGTAAGAAAACAGTCAGCCAAATTGTAATATGTGCAAAAGTTTGAATTGAAGAGCATTGCTTATAATTGCTCTGTAAACAAGAGTTCATATCCTCAAAATATCTCATTCTGATGCAATCATTCATGAACACTTCTCTGACTTTAGTTACACATGGTCTTTTCAAATGAAAACATGTCAAAGATTGTGTCCAAGTGATGCTATTCATCATTCAGTGAGGAATGCTCTTTCAATACCTGCTTGTGATGAGGAGGGAAATCAAAGGTGTAATCAGACCCCAGCAGGTCCTTGTACACATAATTGGCATGTTTGGGAATTTGGTAACTCCCATAATAGTCATAGTCCAATGGAGGAGCCATTGTTCCTGGTAAGAACCAACCAGGGCGCTCAAACCCTTGTCTGTCTTGGTAGACACAACCTTGAGACAATAAGGTCTGGAAATAGGTGGAAAATGCTGTTTTTTTTTTGTGCACTAGATTATGAATCCAGCACTCACTTCATACAAAGGTCCCTTGTTGGCATTCCTGCCTGCAAGGGGTTCATCATGAGGGAACACTATGGAGTAGTTTTTGGCATAAGCCTCATGACTTCTTTCTGTCACCCACTTTCTGTTCCTGATCAGATTTGGATGAAAGCGCCTGCCAATATAAAATAAATTATGATAATTTTGATCTTTTCAAAGGTATTTGACTGTTCACATTGTGACCTCTTGATTTTCAACTTATTGCATGGCTTTTTCAAATTGATAAAGAGATGGAGAACATTAAATGTGTGGATCAATTTTAAAATACCTCCAAAATTTGCACACTCTGTACAAATGAAGCGTCAAAATAGGAAAATTAATATTTGCAGCAATGAGATGAAAAGCTTTTTCTGTGTGCAGAAATATAATATCATTGCCATGTTAAAGTGAAAAGGACACTTACAGAAAAAAAACCACACATTCACATCTGGGCAAAACTGAAAAAATGTTCACATCAACTACAGGACAATAGAAATGGTTGATACCACATGAGTCTATGAATATTTTTCAACATGTTTAAAGAGAAAATCCNAAGGTATTTGACTGTTCACATTGTGACCTCTTGATTTTCAACTTATTGCATGGCTTTTTCAAATTGATAAAGAGATGGAGAACATTAAATGTGTGGATCAATTTTAAAATACCTCCAAAATTTGCACACTCTGTACAAATGAAGCGTCAAAATAGGAAAATTAATATTTGCAACAATGAGATGAAAAGCTTTTTCTGTGTGCAGAAATATAATATCATTGCCATGTTAAAGTGAAAAGGACACTTACAGAAAAAAAACCACACATTCACATCTGGGCAAAACTGAAAAAATGTTCACATCAACTACAGGACAATAGAAATGGTTGATACCACATGAGTCTATGAATATTTTTCAACATGTTTAAAGAGAAAATCCAACAGTTTTTTTCCTTTACAACTGCTCACTACATTGATGGCAATTTAATACACTATATACCTGATGTCATAGCCAAACATATCAAGGGATGGTCTACCCTTGATCACCCACTCAGCCAATTGCCATCCACAGCCACCACCAAGCATCATTCCAGCAGAGTTCATTGCACAACCATGGTAAAAACCTTGCAGTCCAGGATCTTCACCTATTTATTCAAGGGACATAATAATTAATATGAAAATAAGGTTGTTATCCAATTATCCAAATAGAACTACAACTTCTTCAAAAAATAAATACATAGATGATATACTGTATTTCACATATACACTTTAAGAACTATTATTACAAATACAGAGTTTTGAGTGGAAGTCTTACTAAATGCTTACAAGGCTTCCTGAGAAATAACCTCAATAGGGCTTGGATTAATTCTGGGTATTGCTTCAGAGAGGAGGATATATTTATAAGCAAGGAGGGATTGACAGCAACCAATATTCCTAATATTCCTCATGAGTTCCAAGTCTCATGAATACATGGTTAACACAGTGCATCCAAATATATGTATACATTGTACAGTATTCATTCAAGAGATATTTTCTCTTGGATTTCACATTTGAAAAGAAGTAGTTGCCTTTATCACAAATCACTGTCAGGAATGAAAAGAAAAGTATATATCCTTTACTTAAAGAAAAGTTGTCACACACAAATGCAGGTGATGCTAACATAAATGCATTAAAACAATGAAACAACTACAAGGGGGAAAACAGGGTCTTTCTCCTTGAAAAGTAAGAAGGCAATTAGGATGAGGGGAAAAATCCTTGCAGCAAGTGTAAATGTTTCTATAGGTTAACAAACTTTAGTAAATATATATATGTAGCTCTTTGGGTTCCTGATACTCACCCATGATGGGCTTGTGATCAGGTGTGAAAGACTCAGGGCCACAAACTGTGGACTTGATCCCAGTGGCTTCAACCACTGGCACCCTGTTGATGGCACCCTTGATGTGACACCCAAATACATCCCAGTCCAGTTCATAGAGGCTGAATGCAAAATCATCTCCCAACTGGAAATGTGAAAATAATATTTGAAAGCAACAAAATAATATCAGATGAAGGGGGGGCTTTTTGAAACTTTCAAAACACAACCTGCTCAAGAAACACTGGGTGTTCTTCATAACCACCCAGTGCCAAGGCATCACCCTGTAACTTCATGTACACTGAAGAGTCATGGTCTCTGACATTGGGCATGTTTTGGATGCCCTCAATCCTTTCTGTGAGCACATAGGCATGCTTCATGGCTGTCAAAGGTACTGCTACACCAGCAAGATCTCCAATTTTGGGAGCCCAAGCTCCTGTAATATTGTTGCAAATGAACACCATTTTAGACAACACTGATCATTGATAATTAATGGGGACTAAACACCTGAGCAATTGATGACACATTCTGTCTTGACAGAACCCAAGTTGGTGTCAACCCTTGAGACTTTCCTTCCACCTGCCCAAGATTCTGTGGTTTGGATCCCAGTCACTGAACAACTCTCATACACCTACAGAAAAAAAATCCTCAAGATGCCATGATATTGCACAATGTCAGCTAAAATTTGGATGAATTTGCCATGGGGATATAGATTGAAGAACAAATTCACACAACATCTTTCCCATAATCCTTCAAAGTTTAATTCTTATAAAACTTAAGGATATTTAAAAAAGCAGGACAGTGTTTCCAATCATCCAAAAATTCTTGTGAATCCTTGCATTTTACTTTTAAAAATTCATAAAGGTTAAGCACTTCAGTACCCACAATTACTTTACAATTCTTGTTTTTCAAGGGAAGAGATAGAAAGAATCTTTCATAGTTGTAATTCCTAGTTTCCTAACACATAATCAAATCTTTTTTTTTCTAGCAGTCCAATAAGTGATGCCAAATATTTCAGATGATTCATAAATCTTGCCATTGACTTTTGATTTATGTGTGCTGGGGAAGATTAATGTGAGGATGTCCTAAAAAAGGTCAATTGATGGTTGTCCAAAATTGGACAACCATCCATTGACAGATTCTCCAATACATTCATGAGTGACTTGAGTCAGATTAGAATGAACAGAGACTTGTTTATAGTATAATCTTACAATATGGATTATGCTGGGAGTACTCCAACAACTTCACTTATTCAAGGCACACTATTGTACAGTTTGAAATACAGTGGCCCCCCACCTAACAGACCTCCCGTGTAAGGGATTTTTGCCAAACAGACCAGCTTTGCAAGCAGTTTTTCCTCCTGCCCAACAGACACCAGATTTTGTTTTTAAAGCACCATCACTGCTCAAGGAAGCAGGTCCACTATCCGGAGCCAACACCCGACACGTCAGCCCAAAGGACTTTTTGTCTAACAGACTCGTCCCTTGCACAAATCAAGTCCGTTAGACGGGGGTTGACTGTACACCTCATTCAGGATTATTCTGCCAACATATACTGATCCATATGTCAGAGACTGACCTGAGCACCCTTGCCCTTGGCAGCCCTGGTGAGTGCCTGACAGTAGCCAGCAGGGTCAATAGTCCCATCCCCAGGGGAATACAATGTCCCATAGACATCCTCCACATTCATCAGGGGATACAGTCTCTTGGTCTCCTCAGGAGTCAGGACATGACTGACAACCCCAAAGTCATGGCCTATGGTTTTCAGGCGCTTGTATTCATCCAATCTGGGCTACAGCATAACAGTTCATTCATCAACCAAATCATCCAACAACAAGGATATCTTCAAGGAATGTTTTGCATAATTGTTGGAGAAAGAAGAATGCAAATGAGGGTGAAACCTTGGAGGAGGCAATGAACAAGCCTCCATTTTCAATCCAACCAGGGGCTACTCCAGTTTCCTGCTCCAGACCTTTGATCAGGTTTCTCCCATGTGCCAAGAGCTGGATTTCTGTATCACTTGGCCTCAATCTCCACAAAAGCCCTATAGTTAAAACAAGCACAAGACTTGTACATATATATATGCTGTCTGATACCAGATACAGTTTTGTTTTTTTCAAACAGGTGTCCTTCAAAAAAAAAAGAACAACTGAACTGTTGTTCACTTGAGGCTCACAAAAACAAGAGACTTTGATTACCTGCAGTGTGCCAAGTTGTACCAGCTGTCAAGGAGTGCTTCTCCAGCAGAATAACATTTGTCATGCCCAGTTTTGTCAGGTGATACAAGGTGTTGCACCCTATGCTTCCACCGCCTGAATAATTTTTAAAATAATTGCACATTTTGGTTATATTTTTGTGTTATGCCTTTCAAAAGAAAACATAAGTGGTGAATAAGGAACTGTTCTGCATGCTGGTAACATGCACTTGAAGAGAAGATCTTCATCTTTACAAGAATGTTTCAAAAACCAGATACTGGGACATTTAGGATGATGGGTGTTTATTTGTTTATTCCACTGAAAATGATTAGTTCAGGGTGCTGCTTGTTCATGGTGAATGGCTTTATGCTTCCATTCATTCAAGGCAATATTCAGACACTTCATTTTAAGCATATAGTGAAACATTTCCACAATGATTTAATTTCAAAAGTTGAGTTTCACAAACAATGAAATAAAATTTAACCTAATGAGCCATTTCATGAAGTACAGTAAATTCTGTGGATCATTTGTTTCAAGAGAAAGTTGAACTATACTGCATTAAAAATGTAGAAGTAAGTTCTAACTGGATTAATTCATACAAAAATCCAAATGCTCCTCATTCATATTTTGGAAAGATATATCAAAGTACAGTATTCAAGAAGAATTTCTCCATGCGCATGAGCTTAAAAAATGTTGAAAACCATGAGAGGAACAATTGTTGACAAAAGCATTTTTCCAGAACAGTAAATTTCCTTTTGAAATTCTGCTGATATATACAGTACAGTATACAGATCCTTTCATACACAGCATTTGAGAGCAAACTACCAGAGCTCTCATAGTGCAGTATTCATACTGTATTGATGAGCCAAAATGATGGTGAAAGTTGAAAAAAAAAATTTTTATACTCACCAATTATCACAGCATCTGCGGTTTCTGGCAAACCTTGTTGAAGACCAGCAGCAGAGGCGAAGTTCCTTGATGCCCACTTCAGGCGATTTCTCGCGGCGAGAAACAAGCGCGACATCTCTACACTGGCAACACCCCACACGGCATTAGCAAATCGAACTCAACCTGGAGTAGGTGTCGCTCGCGATCCAAAAACCACACGCATACACATCACAGCGTCAACCCCGTCGCAATAACCGCGATTCCCTCTTCCGCGCAGTTGCACCACTGAATGCGATTCACCACTACTACTGAAGTCTTTCAAGTGGAAAACAGCGCACCCGAACTGAAAACCCGCGTTTCGTGGGCTCGTGACTCGAGTTGTTTACGTCCTGATCCGGAAATACAGGGTTGCTTTAAAGAAGGAAATGTGCCACTGGTATGATTGAGGATATAGATATGGATGATCGATAAGGCAAATGAAAACTGGAAACCGATGTTGTTTTTTCGCCTTCTCGTCTGCGCGATCGTTTCCTGTATTCTTCGTTCATCAGCTGATGCTGGTTAAAGAATCAACTTCGCGACTGGCAACTGAATCCATCCGCCTTGGCAACTAACAGCTGGTCGGATGGATGAGGTGATCTCCTTGCGCCGGGTGGCCTGGGTGTTTTCCTGTGTCAGCAATGCTTGAACACTTTGTATGCATTTATAATCAATTCTCATCAACGAAGCACTCATCATTGTTGCTTTAAAATGGATCAAAACATATTAAAGTTACAAAAGAGCTGTTCAAAAGCTTATTTTGATGTGTTAGCCTCGCTAGAAATGGAAGCTGCCCAGGGATGAACCTCAGTCCCTCGTCGCGCATGGCAACAGGCCCTCCCCTTGTTTTCGTGGAATTTTATAGCGCAGGAAATGAGGCGGTTCCTGCTGTTGATGGGGTCCTTGGATATGTATGTATATAGTGGACATGCACAGTATATAGCATAACAAAACAGGAAAAGCTGACCAGCGCGAGAAATACTTTCTTGTGTGCGTGTGATTCTTTTTTTTTTATGAATCCTGTCCAGTGGGTTTTTCTCTCAATTCATAGGGTTTTGTCCCATGACAAGTGGACCAATGGGGATCGGAGGGTCAAGGCGAGTCCATATTCGCTACCAAGTGCGACGCGCGGGATGGGGTTGAAATGGCGGCCGGCGAGATTTCAGTGAGTGCGAGTGCGTGTTGGCAACCCGGGTGCTTCTGCTGCTGCTGCTGCTGCTGCTGGGGGTCGTGTCAGGGCTTGGCGACCAAGTGGGTTCAGTCGATCGTCATTCGTCTGCGCGGGTGGACTGACTGCGGGATTTTCCGGGCATGTCGAAATTTATCTTATATATTTCAGTTGAAAAAAATCGATTATATCTTTGATGAAAGTTATAAACAATTTTTATGGTGGACTTGAACTGCAATGATGGTGTTTTCTGTTGTGAAAAGGAGTCGCTGCGATTCATTTTGGCATACACATAAATTTTCCAAATTGAAATATTCAGTAATTTTTTTTCTGGAGCTTGGGATGAAATCGAGGCCAATTTTGCTTATTTGAAAAAATCCCAGTATGAGTTCTATGGAAGTTTCGAATAAAATTCAGTTTCAGTTGTCCATGCAGGATTTTGTTTGAATTTTTTTCAATATTTCCTCCAATAATGGGTGCGATTACAAAGGAATTTTTCCTGTGACAAGAATTGAAGCTGAGCAAAGGCTTGCTGGATTTTACTTTAATGTTGGGATTATTTTAAATTATACGCATGAAGAATAGTGATGAAATTTGATCGGATTTTGAACAGAAATTTCAGTGAATCTTAATCTTCCAAGTTTTCTTGGAATATTCTCTTCTTTTTAATCCGAAAGGTTATCCGAAGTGTGACAAACTTGTGTTAATTTCTTCTTTGACAACCAAAAAAAGAAATTCGATTTATTTCTCCGGGGGAAAGAAAATCTTTCTTGTACACAGCAGTTCCGTGATTCATTCCTCGATTACGTAATACAGTTACTGTATTATGTAAGTGGAAATACAGGAAAGCTTTGAAATTATATCAGTGCATCGCCGGATTGTTTCTTTATTGTTCATCCGAATTGATAATATTTTCATTATTTCTCCCGTGTACATATGTTGCTATTTTGCCAATTCTTTGCAATATCGAATATTTAATGTGCTGTGACACATTTTTGTGCAGTTTTTGAATTTTACAAATACAGTACAGTGATTTTACATGAAACCAGTTGGGTGAAATACAAAAATTGTATTCAATCAACGAATTTATTTTCCGTTATTAAAAGATTCGTTGTACAGGAATTTCACTGTGTATCACAGAAGTTATTAATTGAGTCTTATTCTTTGCTTTCTGTTGGATGATTTTTACCATTTTTGTTTTGCGAATTATGCACGTGATAGATCCTTTCGTTTCATTTTGAACTCGTGTTGCATCAAAGTTGGGAGGATATACAAATAATTATATGAACAAAATGGCGGCAAATGGAGTGAAAAGTGGTGATCAGCAGATGAACAAGAATAAGAAACAGCTGAAAGTTGTTGTCGTTGGCGGCGGACTTGTGAGTATTTTCTTATTCTTTCGTATTTGCATGATTTTTCATACTTAACTAGATGAAATTTTGAAAATTGTTTTTTCTTGTCCAAAGTGAGAAAAAAGTGCATTATTTTTCGGCTCGGTAATCCCCATATTTCTCCCAATTCGACACTTTTTTGATGAGACATTTGACTAAACCTCTTGAAAAAATCTTCCGACCAAAGTATTCTTTAAGATTTTTCCGAGCAATTTTATACAACCTCTCATCTTGCAGAAAACCCTTTTCCTACTTGAAAAAAAAATTCGGGTTTGTTCGAAAAATGTCTGAAATTCAAACAGTAGAAAAATGTTTTTTCCTGAGACATCTTATTTTTTTCCTGTGGCTTCGAAGTTACCCGAGGTCCACAATAACCTTGAAAAGTGTCAAGGCTTGAAGAACGAAGAGGAAAACGAAACTTGAACCCCTTATATTTTCCCTGGTTCACGTCGAACCCATCAGGAACAGGAAACCCCCCTTTTTTGTTGAGAAATAACTTGAAAAAAATACTGTACATAGTTTCGGGTTATACCTGTTACGTAAGCTTCGGGTTTTCGCATTCTTGCAAAAGACTGTTTCTTTAGGTTCAATTTACTTGTAATTCTGTATTTATGTCTAAAATGCGATGGAATTTGAAAATTGGCTTGAGAATTTCTTGCAATTTTTTCAATGTTGAATCGAGTCCGCTGACGTTGATTTTTGCAGGTTGGCACGATGGCAGCTGCTCTATTTGCCAAACGCGGGCATGAAGTGCTGATATACGAGTTGCGAGAAGGTATAATAATTTGGCATGCTGTATATAATGACGTCTCGTTACAACAAATACCTTTACAGCAAATTTTCAAGTGTAACAAATTTTTTTTTTCTCAGTCCTGGCAGAAATGTTACAGGGTGCATGTTATAAAAATCTTGCTACAACAAACTCTTAAATTCCAGTATAACAAACTTTTTTTGAGGGACATGTTGTGATTTTCCCTGATGACAAATCCCAAATGAAGACAGGCTCAGTCTCAAACTTCCCATTTCAAAATGTAACTTAATTCTTGGGAAACAAATGGAAGGTGGAATCAAGGACACAAATTCTCCAAAATTCACCTGGACATCCTCTCTTTCAAAAGTTGTTCATGGGTTAGGAACAATAAGGGAGTTGAAGGAAAAAATTTGAAATAAAAAATGCAATGTTAAAAGGGGGTTTTGGTTGCTTGTGAAAATTCAAATGATGCCATTGGATGGCAGTGGGTCAATTTCCAACCCAAAGCAGTGCCAGGATATTTTTTGCACACTTGAGCATTTTGGCTTGACCCAAGGTCATCAAAAATGCAGCTTAGGCTGAGTCATCATCAGAAAAATTTTGATGATTTTTCTGCAGGAATGCTAAAGAAAATTTTTGATTTCCCCCCCCCCCATTTTTTTCCAAGTCTTGGCAGTTTTCCTTGAGGCATTGCCTAAATTAGTTTTGTTTTAACAAATTTCTTTTCAACAATTAAAAAATTTTTGTCCCCCATCTGTACAATTTTAAATCCAATTTTAAGTTTTTTTTTGTCTGCATTTCAAACTTTTTACATAGGATAATTTCATAATTTCCTGAGGCTCATCATCCCTAGGTATATTGGACAGAAAATGTGTCTAGAGCAGAATTACACACTTGAAATACAGGAGGCTTAAAAATTGGTTACATTAGCTGACTGGCAAAGAAGCTCATAAAATGAACGCATCCTTGATTAATCTAATATCCAATGTCTCATATGAGTCTGGAGGCACAGTGCAAAGTTAGCTGTCAAAATCTATGAAAATCTTTTATTTTTCCAATGCTCTTCCATGTCAAGTTCTTTTTCCAATGTTTAAATTCTTTGTTTAATTTAAACATTTCATAAAACACACTTATTTTAACAGATATTGCACCAAGAAAAAAAGAACTACAGTTCTTTTGGCAATGATATGCTTTTAGAGACAATAAAATGTATTTCTGTAAATAAATTGTTCATTGCAACAAATTTATTTCAAGTGTATGATGTGAGTTTGTTTTGACAAGATTCTACTGTATATATGCAGGTCTAATTTTTAAAAAATCTTGCCAACAGTAAATATTTTTGAAAATCTCTTCATAATAACAAATTATTTGTTGCAACAATCTTTTTCTGAGGTCCTCACAAATTTGTTGCTGAATAAAAAAAAAAACCTGTTTCAACAAAGCCATTGGGACCAGTAAAATAGCTTGATTGTAACAAAAACATTCTTCGGGCAGGTAAAATTGTTTTAGAGAGAGAGAGTTAACCAGTATTTTGAGTGTTTTTATAACAAATGTTTCCTAAATGCCCAAAATATTGTAACAAAATTTAACTGTACACTGTAATATGTACACATTGGTGTTGGAACCCCCTCAAGTAACACCCCTCCTTTTCTTTCTCTTTTTTTTTCTTGTTTGTCACCAAAGAAATGAATGAATGTTGAAATTATATATATAGACATCCGGAAGCTGGAACACGTGCCCGGCAGAAGCATCAACCTGGCCCTGTCCCTGCGCGGGATCGAGGCCCTGAGGCGGTTGGGCATCGCAGACAGCCTCTTGGCCACCCACGCCATCCCCATGTTTGCTCGCATGATCCACTCGGTCGACGGCCAGAAGCGGCCCATCCCCTATGGCAAGGGCAACGAGGTACAGTACAGTACAGTACAGTATATACATAAAGGGTTGCTGCATTATTATTATTATTATCATCATCATTATTATTATTATTGCTGTATAGGCAAGAACTGGATGATTTTGGGTGGAATTCATCCTTGGGTCCCTGCTGCTTGACACAACATGATTTTTCAAATGTATAGTTGGCAGACTTTTGACTAGATGACAAAATAAAAATACAAAGAATTCAAGATGTCTCTGGAGCTTTTATACTGTACTCAAATACTCTACTGTCATATATTGATATTGTACAGTTGAGGCCCCCAAATGCGGACACCTTGACCTGCAGACAATTTGACATAGGGACACTTATTTTCCCAGAAAAAAATCAACAAATAAGGCCCAACATGAGGACGCTGACTCAACATAGGGACATTTTTTGATTAAATTGCAAATACACTATCTTCAGGCCAAATTACCAGAACCAGATATTTCAAACCATGAAATTAATTTAAGAGAAGTTCTTGGGCATTTCTCTCACCAAATTACCATCCATATCTAGCTAATTTAAAGAAATTACCTCCAGCATAGAGGGACTTATACTTCTTTTTCACTTGAACGTTATTTTTGTAGATGTCAAAATTTCAGTGTACAGTATAGTACAGAGATACGCTATGCAAGGCTCCAAATGTTCTTATTGAGTTATTGAAAAAGTATTCACTGATTCAAATTCAAGTGGCAAACAATTTTTTTCAGGGAATTCTG